TCATCTAATCCAAATATTTCGTGAAAACGTCATAGTAAAAGAAGTACCAACTCAATGAACAATTTCCACTAAACTAAAGTGATTCCATCCAGGTTAAAATTCAATACCCCAAGAACTACTCTAATAATAATCCATTTAATACAAATCTACAGATGAAATAGAACCTTGCAATTCCACGAACCAGAGGAAGGACTTTGCTCCCAGATACGAACGGTTTTATCGCCGCTGCAGGAAGCAAAAACAAGTGGAATTCCTCCAGCTCCGGTGGCGGGATTCCAGGCCAGACTCCATACCCGATCAGTGTGACCTTCAAGCTTTGCAGTCTCCTTGAGCTCGAATCGGCCATCCCAAAGCTCCATCACAAGAATGGTATTCCTTTCCCAAATCGCCGGCAAAGTAGGAAGATTACCAAGCCCTAGCTCCACGCAGCCGGAGATTCTGGAGCTCGACTTTAATGGCCGGCGAAGGGATAAGTACGCGCCGCCGCGGGTAATCTCCTCAACGTGTCGTCGGCTTACAGAGATTTAACGCTTTAATGAAGCAAGACAATGATTTCACGGCTCTATTGAAATTGGAAATTGGAAATATGTATGATCTAATAATATTGCATATTAAATTAAATTACATAAAAATAAAATAAAAAATCACTATGATATAAAATTGATCGGATTTAAAATAAGAAACTATAGCTAAGATTTTATTAAAATTTTCGAATATTAACAAAGTTATTCCATTATGATTTGTGCCATACTCATAAAACTTTATTTTATTAAAATTGGTGACATATATATATATATATATATATATATATATTGTTAAAATTAGTAATTAAAGTCTCGTAAAATTAAAATATCAAATATTTTCAAAGTCACAATACATCGCTCATATCACTTACAAAAATTAAATACGTTTTTAAAGTATGGTTGGGTTGGATTATAATCGACAAGACAAAATATATATATAGCCCACAAACAGAATTAAATTTTCGATTTTAAAATATTTAACTTAACCCAACTTAAAAAAAAAAAAAAAAAAAAAACTAACACAGGTTGTTGAGGATTGTTGGGAGGGAGTCCCACGTTCCCTAATTTAAAGAATGATCATGGATTTATGAATAAGGAATACATCTTCATTGGTAAGAAAGCATTTTGGAGAAGCCCAAAGTAAAACTTGAGAGATTATGCTCAAAATGGATAATATCATCCCATTGTGGAGAGTCGTGATCCATAACATGGTATCAGAGCCATGCTGGAGAGTGTACTTTGTTTGAGGGGAGGATTGTTGAAGATTGTTGGGAGGGAGTCCCACATTGGCTAATTTAGAGAATGATCGTGGGTTTATAAGTAAAGAATACATCTTCATTGGTACGAGCCCTTATGCTTCAAGTGGGCTCATACCATTGTGGATAACAAATAAGTGCTCGGGATCACGGGTCAATAGTGCAAGTATCTATTAAAAAAAGGTCTCGAATTGAAAGGTAACTTTTAAGAATTTGAAATTCAAGGGTGATGATGACATTTTTGTACTTTTTTTTATTATTTTTTTGGCAACTTGGACGCCACTTGTTGTGACCTTCTTTTAATGGTAATATTTTGATATAGTTCTATATACTTTTGATTTATTATTTTTTAAAATTACATAAAATAAATTACAATAAACACATTTTAAATTAATAAATTTTAAACGTATTTATTAGAAAATTAATTTGGTTCAAGAAAAACATTTTTTTAGGAGGTCGGAGTATTCTACTAAACCGAAGCGGTTCAACAAGACCGATAACGGTTATTCTAGAAATTCAAACCGGTCCATTGCGGTCAAGTTCCTTACAGTTCGCCTTCGAGAAATCAAGCAACTCCATTCCTATCTTCTCTCAACCAAAGGCGCGAGAAGTTTTTGCTAACCCTAACGCCTTAGATCAGAAGGCAAAGAACTCGCGAGAACATCGACAATGAATTCAGCAGGTCCAAGAAGCAGAGGCCTTTTCGAAGGTCTGTACAGAGTGATTATGCGCCGTAATTCTGTTTACGTTACCTTCATCATCGCCGGTGCTTTCGTCGGAGAACGGGTAATGTTGTTTACCTCATCTTAATGCTAATTTATGTGTGTTATGTTTTTTTTTTTGGATTGTCAATTCATTAATTTCGTTTCCGCGTTTGATCTGAGGATCTTGTTTTTTTGCAAATTACTAAATATTGGTATTAAACTGCCTGATTGACTGGTCATGTTCTCGCTGATCCATGAAAAAAAATTCAACGAACAGCTTGTTCATGTGTGGCCGCCGGCGAGAAGGAGTAGGTGGAACTGTATTGAAATTTATGGTTTATCTGCACGAGGAGAATTGATTAGGAGTAGAGGATTCATATATTGGTTTCTGGCATCAATTGAAAAGTCCGGTTACACGATTGAACTGATTCAAAATATAACTATGAATTGCTTTCACGATTGTGTGCAGATTCTTAATTTATGTAAAGTAACTTCGTATGTTTTCTTCATGTATGGAAATGCGGAGTTCGGCCATTATTTAGTCTGCTTACAATAGAAAAAGGACTTCCATTTTTTTTTTTTTTTGTTATAATTTTACACGATAATGAAAAGTGGAAGTGGTAACCAAAAAAAAACAACATAAGGACGTTTCTTCGTTTGTTCTATGCACTGTTATGTAATGGGCCTGAGCATCTTAAACTGTAGTATGGGACTTATGAGTTGCTTGGTTTGTTGTTACTTTAAGTTTATGGTATCTTATTTTTACCTTAATGCTTGGATTTCCATTGGTGCAGGCTGTGGATTATGGAGTTCACAAGCTCTGGGAGTACAACAATGTCGGGGTATGGAACCTACCCACATACATGATTTACTTTGTTTTTTTATGTACACATTTCACATGGACTATCATTTTGGCATTTATTGTGTTCTCCAAATCCAGAATGCTTGATTTTTTTTATTCTGGATGTTTTGGCTCCCATTTTCTGTTATAAGCTTCAAATTATCTATCAGTTTCAGCTTCTATTTGTGGTTATTGTGTTGAAGATTATGGCATTGCAGAACCTTTGCATTTTCATGATCTCTTCTATTTCATCATCTGGTTTAAAATGACTTCCAGGTGTAATGCATCAAGATGCATATGAAATTCTCATATTTTTTTGAACACAAGCAAGCTATTTGGACTTGTCAGATTTGTTCAAATGCCATTCATCATTCGGTACAGATTGAATTTGGAAATGACAATAAAGTAGTACTTATTTCAGATTTCATCTGTTGTGTTTTCGTTCTTCCTTATTTTTTAAAATCGTTCTTTGTGTTCTTAAGTTTTGGAAAGTCTTAATTTCTACAAGGTTAAGGCTGTATTAGAATTTTCGTGGGATAATTATAAACCACACCTACGCAGTCTGTCTATTCAATGTCCTCATGGTTCAAAAACAATTTTTTTATAAGCACTTAGACTTTTGATTGCTGCTTTTTACTTGTTTATTAAGTGGGTTGGTTCCTTTTACTTGTATGTTGTATGTTAAGTGAGCTGTCAGTAATGAATAACGCGAGTCACTAAAAACATTTTCCCAAGTTGGTTTGAATCTAAAAGGTCTTAATGGAGCCAACCTAAGCATAATTAAATGGTTAAGGTATTATATCCTCCATCAAATGGTTAGATGTTAGAATCCTCACTCCCACATGTTGAACTAAAAGGAAAAAGTCTGAAATGGAACGTCTATTTTTTCCATGACGTCCATTAAAGTTGCTGCTAGTTGGTGAAGAAGGGCTGTTAGAGTTGCCAAACACACTGGCAAAGTAGATAGCATTTATGACTTCTCATTCTTACTTACGGATGTCCTGCCTGCTTAGCAGATGGGTAAATTGGGAGGAAAAACATAAATTAAGGGTACACAAAACTGTTCTTAAGACTAGGGGTGGGATTTACATGCTAGGCAAATTATATAAATGTAATTTGCAATCATCGCTATATTTTATTTGTTTTCTTTGTTTTTCTTTGTTTTCCTCCAATTATATGTTGATCTATAATATCCATCCTTGTTCTACTACAAACTTGCTTTGAAAGAGATGTCTTCCCGCACAAGATGCTACTAAACAATTTTTGTTTTGATCAATAGCTTTCTGAACTCGTTCCCAACTCTATTTCGATATATGATGGTCTTACAACTATGCAGAAACGGTACGAGGACATTTCAGTTTTGGGGCAAAGACCAACGGAAGAATGAATTTATTAGCCGATTGAAAGCTACACATTCATGGATTGAAGAGGTTAAAACTGGTGGCTTAGGATGATAAATGAGAATGTATTTCCAATGGGAAAAACGTTGTCTTTTTGACATGGAACATTTGTGTTTCTTCATGAGATTCTAATCATATTTTATTTGCTTGAGTTTGGAGTTGCAAGCTTTTGTGCATTATATTTGATCATCGAGAATAGAGGATCTGGGTTATTGGAATTTTAGCAGTGGCATAGTTGCAATGACTTGGGTGCTAGTTTATGAATAGAGGGCGTTAGGTAACTTAGACGATTGAAAGAATTTTGGCAAATTAGTCCTTGGTGGGTTAAGATTTAAACCTCCGATCTAAAAGCGACCACATGTCAATTACAACGATGATCAATTTGGTAGAATGAGAAACTATAACAATTTATGCATTTGATTCTCTTTTTTAAGTATAAGCTTGAGAATTTAACCATGAAATTGGTTTTCTACTCAACAATAAACGAACATATCAAACATGAGCTAAAAGAACCAACCCGAGCGGTGAACTTTGGTTCGGTTTGTTGGTTTTTGTCAGTTTTTTTACTGTCCTGCATAAAGCCAACCTTTAAGCTTATAAATACTGTAATTCTACTTCGACTCGAATTTATTTGCTTCTCTCTTACAAGTGTTTTCAAACTCCAAGCCAAGTTTTGGGAACATCGTTTTAGAAAACGCACAGCCAAAGGACATTATGCAGACATCATTGAAGCTATCAATTTACAGATTTTTCTGTTGAATGTGGAAGCCAAACAAGAAATGCAAATTATTCTGTGCTATATTTTCAATTTGGTTCATTTAATTTTACAGCGTTAAAAAGATAGATGAGGATAAGAATCTGCCATTACCAAGACCAATTCTCCCAGCCTGCCCCCATCAATTTTTTAACATGGTAAATAATTATTATGCAGTCTAATCCTAAAGAGAGAACTTTTTATGAAGCAGAATCAGTCTTCAGCAGTCTCCCACAACGGAGGTTCAAGTTCACCAACCAAAATTAAAAGCGAACCACATACCCTGCGAGCTAATCAACAGCTTGATCAAATCTCGGTGATCGGCTGCTGTCGAGACCTTGAAATCATGGATCTACAAAAGAAATAAACTAGTGAGATGCAATTAAGAAGAGGTCGAAGGGTCAACTTGTGTGAACCTCTACACTATTTGCATCGGATCACACTGGCTAACCCTACTACATTTAGTTGCCAAAAAAAACTCTTCGGTCGTATTACTTGTGTGCCCTTTGTGTATTCATAACTCACATCTATTTTGAGGTAAAAAAAGATTCGAAACTAAGTTATATTAACTATTCAGTCTCTTCATGTTCCCTCCCTTCTTCCTAGAGTGCGTGTTTGCTTCATCTCAATGTTGGTCATAGCAAACATTCTTGAGACTTCACAACATTTTAGGAATTGTTTTTTAATTCAACAAAACGTGGGGTGGGAAGATTCAAACTTCTGACCTAGAGATCAAAAGTATATCTTAACTAGTTGAGTTATGCTCTAAAAATGAGTCCAATTATATTCTTCTCCTCTTTCATTTTTCATCTAATCGTATAGTTGGTTCTTTCATTTTTCATCCGATCGTATTGTTGGTTCTCTGCCTATTCTAGGAAGTCTACCTGCTCCAGAAAAAGTAGTCGAGTATTTCCAAAAGTCAAAACAAAGACCTAACTAAGCAAGTTTTTGGACTATGAAGTCAAGGACGTTTCTCTCCTTTCATTTTACACCCTTGGGGTATAATTCTCCTGACAGATAAATCACCAAACCTATCTACCCGTCAGTAGTAAAATTATCAATGAAGAAAAATTTGCAGTCTAATAGCCGTTGCATTATGTAAAAATTATCTACAGAAATATTAATTTCATCCTTATAGCCTGATCATTACGGTAAGTGCACATAAACAGCAAATACAGCTTCGCAAGCTCTATGACAATAGGGGAATGACAATCAGTGATTAAAGAGTGAGATACAATACCCTACCAATTGGCCAATCCTCTAATCTGACTTTTCAATCTCTCGGAATTTCCTTTCCCACTCTTGGAGCTCATAATTTTGTTCAATTAAGTCTCGATCAGTACTATATACAATTCGATCCTGACCAATCACAGTTCTTTGGGCCATGTCTCGGGCACTGAGGAGCTGATAAGATTGTATTCAAAGAATTAGATTCTCTGACGAAACAAAATTGATGCAGAGGTAAGAGATTAAGAAGCAGGAATTGAAATAGACATCGTCAGGGTACTAAAATGACGCTAAAACAGAACACTGGGAGGAGAAAAAGAAACAAAATAGAGCTTTGTTCATATGGTACTTTCTTTTTAAATTTGGCACCAATCCGCTCCTAAAACAGATGATTAGATCTACTGAGGAGCGAACTTATTTTGGTGATCTAAATATTAATTACCTTGCGCCTGAGTGACACATCTGGCAATTCAAGGGCTTGGGCACGCTTTTGCCTTGCTTGGTTTCTTTTTCCTATTTCAGCATTTCTCTTCTGGGTAATGAACCACCGGACCAATGGAATTGCGAAGAAAGAACCAGCATATATCTGCACAGTTTTCTCATAATCAAATTTTTTTTTACCAAAGTAATTAAATGACGTTAAATAAATTTCTGAATTTTGAAGTTACAACAAACCAAACCTGCAGTAGAGGAAATATATCTGATACAAATTTGATAAGTCCACTTGGTTTAACGGCAACATCCCTTCAAAAATGGAATTGGGGAAAATTATTAGATTTTTCAGAAACCGCGACGAAACAATCCAGTCTAAATATCCATACTTCAACATGGCTCCAAGGACTATAACACCAAACAGATTAAGCCCTCCCAATCCAATAGCCATTGCTCTCTCTGAATAACTTGTTTTACTGCAGACAAAAAAAAGGTCCTGATCATTAATTAAATTTAAATTATACTCCCAAACAAGACGAAGAAACTTAACCACGGTACCTGAAGACCCATTCCTTCTCTTTGAAAAATTTCTCAATCCCTCCAACCCAGTCAGCCCATTTTCTACCCACATACTCCTTCCTTCCACTCCGCTGAGAAGAAGCTGTGCGCTGAAGGGAGGGAAATCGATATAGAATATTTCCCTATAAATAAATAACTTTTAGTGAATATTTATATATATGTTTTATAGAAATCGAAGTGACATGTCAATAAACAGAGCGCAGAAGAGGATAGGCAACACTTTAGGAAAAAATACATAAAGTTATGAAAGTTTCCCATAGAGAATATTGAAAGTCATTATAAACACCAAATTTTATAGATTTTACATATTTATACTAACAATAAGGACAAATTTTACCCCTAACATGTTCAAAATCCTTTTTGTTTTCCCTCAAAATTTATCTTATTGTTTCTACCCGACCCTGAATGTGAAGCTGATATTGCACCTTGCACACTTCCAACAAATCCTTTTTTACTTACTGGCAACTACTCTCCAAAAATATTCTATCAAATAATAAAATTTCATCCAACATTAATAGCTTAAGCTTTTAGGGCTAATTTTAATTTAATATAGAATTAGAACAAAATGTCTAAATTCACATCATGCAGTACTATTTAATTCTTCATTTCAATAAAACCATATCATTGATTCATTACATAGCTTTGTATTAGCATACCACTTCAAGGCTCAAGGTAGCAACTGACTTATGTTCATATATTATTGACCTCAAATATGGGTAACTAGAGCTATTTGTACCCATTCAAGCATTTCATACCTCGTTAAACATACCTCTTCATCAATTTCAGGTTGGCCATCAAAACGTAAAAGAACTGGCAAAATGTATGATTCATCATCCTGCAATCATCAAGAGGATGAAACAAAGTCAAATAGAAAAATTAGATTTTAATTACAATAAAATATGAGTTGATTCTACCCATCAAAATGTCAAATAGCCGCCAACCAATGATGGTTGGCAACCACGACCAAATTATTCACATCATTGAGAAGGCACCAATTCTTAAGGTCAATTTTGCTAAGTTCATTATGGTTGGTATTGACTGACATTATCAAACGTGAAAGAAGTGACTGATGATTTCAAGTGCGAAGTTGGTGACTGGTCCCTTCAGTACTTGGATCTCCCCTCTTTTGAGAAATCCCAAATCTTAAGATATTCTGCATGTCTGCTTTGGACTCTTGCAACCTTAATAAGTGGAAGCATGCTGAAGGGTGATCGGAATTGGAGCACCTCAACCAATTAACCCAACTACTTCTACTCTATCCTTAAAACTTCCAGCAGGGTTTAAAAGGATATAGACAAAATCTTGAGGAATTTTAACAGTAAGGAGTCTAAGGACCTAGCACGGAGACAGCTCCACGGCATAGTATTATAATCAGCTAGTATGGTGTTGTTCCTGAGAATTGGATTTTGTGCTGTTCTTCTTTGTTAACGTTGAAAAGCCCTTGGAAATCAATTATCAGTCTTAGCAACATTCTAAAGGAGAGGACTCTTTTTGTTTGGGTAAAGGTAGAAAGTGCAGATGTTGGGAAGACCTCTGCAGGCGCTTTAAGCCTTCTTTGACGCCTGCCAATGAACAATGTATAAAGTCTAACATTAACTTACTGTGTTCCCCTCTGTCACATCCAGATAAGGTGCAAGCTCTTCAGCAGTTACAACCCCACCGTTGGAGGTGATGTATTGCCCAATCTGCGTATAGCTCAAAATGTTAACTGATATCAATAGTTACGTATACATATGATGTCTACAAACTACTCTTAGATAACAATTATAACTAACTTTATATTACAGAAAAGTGCAAAAAAGAAAAACAAAAAAAAAGCCTGAGATTGACTTAGTGGTACATGGTCGATGATAATGCAAAGAAAGTTTCTCCTTAACTCAATATAAGCATGACAATGGGGCAAAAATGAAGCCAATATTAACAAAAGATGAACAGTGACGATCTAGAAAGATTACGAAATTAGCATCCATGTCAAGAAACTTTGCAACCGGCTTACTGGCTTTTGCTTCTTTTTTGTCCTACATCATTTATGTAAATTGTCCCAACAAACTCTTTTCTAATAAACAGAAAACTAAAAACATTAAATGTAACTTCATAATAAAACAGGGGAGTCTTTCGAGGAGCAATCGTGATAATAATTCATACTGAGAAAGGTCATCCAAGAGAGGAAAAAGTTAAGAGCAAGGAAAAGGAACACAAAACTGAAAATCCCTTCAGAACGAGGGAGTTCGTTAAGAACTAAGACACTAGATTCATGTAAAAATTTCAACAGGAAAAGGCAAGAAGAAAAAAGGAAAATAAAATATTGAAAGTAACGGACCACTGAACACAGTCCTCAAATATTACCAACTTCCATCTCTCTTCTTCAATTCCTTGATTTGGATCCCCGTCGCCAAAAACAAATGAGAAAATCTAAAAGAAGACCATTTCAAAGTTAACATTTAAATCTGAGCTAAAGTAGAACAGGATTGTAATAAAGACTAGAGATCATTTAATCACATACAGATTCAATAAAGTTCATCTTATTATCTTCTGTTTGTAGTCGACGTCTCCTATAGTAATATGGATCCCAGTACCTTACACAACGCAAACAGGATGAATGATGGCCAAAAGTCCTCTAAAACAAAGTTGTCAATTGTGTGACAAAGAAAAAACATATTACCAGAAAAGATCAGCCGGACTCAAATAGAATGTGAATCCTGAATCATATGATCTGCCACGTCTTCCGCGATTATCCTCTTCACTGTATCATTAAACTTGAATCAATAATTTGAAGTTACCTCAAACCAGTACTCTATATTATTCATGATCAAGGATTGCGAAAAGGATTCACTATTGAAAATAAAGTGCGAACCTTCTGCTTGAAATAAGAGCAATAATTGTAGTATATACAAGAACGATTGAAGCAATTAGAGCCGTGCCAAACGAAACCCTGACAAGATATTCGGCAGCGGCCTGAAAATTGAGTTAAGAATGCCGTTAAACACACAAAAATTGTTCCCTAACACTAACAATTCAGAGATAAACCCAACATTCCCTGACCGATACCTTTGACTTTTCTATGAGAGGTTCAAATTTTATCCAAAACGATTTGGCTGCAAGCTTTGAACGATAGTCTTTGGGGAAAACATAGAGAACGTCGCCCTCATCAGAAACCTGTTAAGAACATCTTGAAAAATTTTGCAGTCACAAAATTAAGAACTTCAAAATGCCTATAGTTTACTTTTACAGTCTACAGATATTACAAAACTAGTGTTTCCTTTTGTCATCTCCGGTGGAAGATGAACTACTCTTGCATATCCAATGCAATATTATATTTGGTTTAGCGCCTAAATTTACATGCAACTCTATGAGTTAACAACAAATACCTCTAAAAAGCCATTGGTATCAGCAGCTAGAGCCTGCAAAGCCTTCTGAGCTTCATTGAGCTTAAGTCCCGCCCTGCTTGCAACGTCTCCAATGGTTACTCTCCCTCCACACGCGTCCACAGCCTCCATCGCTCTCTTTCTCACATCCGACGGCAATTTATCGCTCTCCACTGACCTTCCAGGTCTGATATCGGAAGGAATGTCAATGCCCGCTCTCACAACCGGAACCGAACCCCTTGCCCTACAGTCTAGCGGCGAAATCCGCGTATGGATGGCCGGAAAAGTAACGGGAGAGGGCTTTAAGCAAATTGAGGGTTTAAGAGTAATGAGCGGGTGGAAATAGAAGCGAGAACTCTGTGAAATGGCGAAAGAAGTGGAGATTGTCGCCATGATTCGCATAAACTTGAGGAATTTGAATAAAGCTTTCAAGAATTGGCCATGGAAGTCGAAATAGGTGCAGTGGGTGACAATCCTACGGTGAGTGGCTCTGATTTGGAGGCGACGGGATTGTTTTTCTTCAATTCTTTCTCCACCCTTTTGTTCTTCAACGCGTATCTCAGTCAATTACCCGGGAAAATAAGTCGACACAAACATTAAATAATCGTGTTATCGTTGATCTACAAAATTAGCTTAATTAACACAATCCAAATGATAATAGAAATAACCAATATCTATAAATAACAAAATAATAATAATAATAATAATAATTTAAAAAAAATATATATATATATAGTACCAGCCAAACGCATCCCAATGTGTAAATTATATGAAGGTTGGTATTCTACTCTTATAAGGATTGGGTTTGCGTAACCTAACTCGAGCACAATACTCAAAAGCTGCTTGAATTTGAAAGGGTTTGATCTACTAAGCTTAACTTTTGAGCCTTAGCCCATCCAGGATAGGTTTGGCAAAGGCCTTTGAGCACTTTGGGTTCGACTTAATCCAAGCCATGAGTTCGACTCAGTGTCATTTGCGCTTTAATCAAGACTATTCTAAGTCTGTTTATGAGTCAATTATTTATGGCCTTCCTCGTTGCCCATTTATAATTTAATTAAATATATATATTTAATAATCACAGGTCTTAAAAAAAGTTAAGAAAGTAGAGGGTTTGAAGTTACCACTTATATGGTAGGCTTAAGTTTAGACTTATTGATCCAAAGTAAATACGAGATTTTACATTGGTAGGAGAGAAGAACGAAGTACTCTTTATATGGGTGTGAAAACCTCTTCTTATAGACGTGTTTTAAAAACCGCGAGGCTGACGATAATATATAATGGGCCAAATTTGACAAAATGGGCTAGTAGTGAGTTGTTACAAATGATATGAGAGTCAGACACCCGTCAGTGTGTGAACGAGGACATTGGGGCTCAAAGAGGTGGATTGTGAAATTCCACATTAATTGGAGAGGGGAACGAAACACTTCTTATAAAGGTGTTGAAACGTACCCCTAATAGACTTGTTTTAAAAACTATGAGACTGGCGGTCATACATAATGAGCCAAAGTGGATAATATACGCCATAAAATAAATTATGAAGAGGTAAAATATACCATTTGTTGGGCCCAGCCCACGGGATAGACCAACTTGGGATGTTGCGATTTGGGCCTATCTTTGAAGATTCAGCCCAGAGGAGAGCCCCAAGCTTGAAATTTCAGCCCATCTTAAAGAGTGGCTTGTGGCGACGCCATGGAAGTGGATTCGCGGGGAAATAATATACTCAACCGTCACCGAGGCCTCACAAACTCTACTCTCTGCGACAGTACATTGAAATCGCTGAAGAAAAAATGTTCCACTGCAACCATTTCGTCCTCTCGTTTGGATCTTTAAGTCCTCAATCTTCGAGAATCCGTCAACGATCGTCTTCAAGCTTCATCTTCGCTGATTCTACGGTCAAGGATAGCACTGCAGTAGCTTCTTCACAGTCGCGAAGGACCATTTCCTCCCAGGAAGCTCGAGTTTCTCTTGTTTTTGCTCTCGCTTCCCAAACATATTCTCTCTCTCAGCGCGGTAATGTTTCATTATCTTATTTGGTAATTGATTGAACTCGAAGATACAGTTGTTGTTCTTGTTTAATCCGCTATTTTTTCGGTTGTTCTGCAGTCTTGTTGGAATTGGCTTCCGAAACTTCAAAATACTTGTTGCCTAAAAGGTTCGAGAGTCGGAACTTAGAGGAGGCTTTGATGGCAGGTATTTATATTTTTTGTTTGTACTGTGTGATAGGTTGTGAATTTCTCACTTGCGAGTTTTGTCCTGCGATTTAGCTCTAATGTAGTATAGTTCGTATTTCTGTCTCTTATTATTATTTTTAGTTTATTAATTGGTGTTGAGTTAATCTAGTTCCTGATCTCGAGACTATGAAGTTCAAGGTCTTAAGTCGAAGAGACGAATACGAGATAAGAGAGGTTGAGGTATAATTTTCGACCTCCTCAATTTACTTTTGTACAGACTCATTGCTTCATTGCTAAACATAATACCGACTTATTCTAAAAATTAGCTCACACAAACTATGGCAATGATCGGTTGAACAGCCATACTTTATAGCGGAAACAACCATGCCTGGAAATAGTGGATTTGATTTCAATGGCGCATCTCAATCCTTCAATGTCTTGGCGGGGTACCTTTTCGGTAAGGTAGATTTGAAGCATCCAAGATGAAATTTGTTAATCTTGATCTCTGTTTTTCATCCAATATTAAATCTGGTTGTAATACTAGAACACGGCTAAAGAAACAATGGAAATGACAACACCTGTTTTGACGAGCCAAACCAAATCTGATGGGGAAAAAATGGATATGACAACCCCTGTAATTACGAAAAATGTAAGTTCTTCAGATGTTGACACCAGTTAGACATCTTTCCTTCATTCTCGTATTCATATATGGTATTTATGTGTTTCCATTGTGAGATTGTAAATTTTTTATTCCATCCTTGTTTTTTCAGGTCGATGGTAAAGATCAGTGGAAGATGTCATTTGTAATGCCCTCCAAATATGGTCCAAACTTGCCAGTGCCCCAAGATAATTCTGTTAGGATTCAAGAAGTCCCAAGAAAAATTGTTGCAGTTATAGCCTTTTCAGGTCTTTTCTATTTAATCTAGAAACTCGACTCTTTCTATGTAGAATACTTCATTGAAAAATTTGCACCATTTCATAGTCTCCAAGCATATTGCCAGAAAAGTTCAAATTCTTTGAACAATTACTTACTAAATATTTGCTGCCAAGTTTACATCATCACACTTCAATATTTTTAACACTTGAAACAATGTTGCTGATAGTGAGATGACATTTTCAGGAGCCTCGATTCCAAATGTTCTTACGCAAATCAACTGTGTTTCTTACTATTATTATTATTATTGGTTGTTCAATTAGGTTTTGTCACTGATGAAGAAGTTAAACGAAGAGAAACTAGGTTAAGGGATGCTTTGAAGAACGACCAGGAGTTTCAAGTTAAAGCGGGTAGTTTTGTGGAGGTAGCACAGGTATTATGATTATCCAAAATAAGTAATATCTTTGTTTTTTCATAATGCATACTTGGCTTGCTTTTTGATAGTTGCTAACTCTCTATGTATGCGGTTTGCAGTATAATCCACCCTTTACTCTTCCATTTCAACGTCGAAATGAGATTGCACTTGAAGTTGAGAGGAAAGAAATATAGCAGCATCATTACCATCATACGATCTCGAAATTCACCTCTGCTGTACAGTCCCCTTTTACTCATATTATGGATTGTATATGTGTGTATAAATGTCACTTTCACTTATAAATAGAACTCCATTAGGTAATGGATAGTGCACCAATGGAACTCAATACTATAGATTTGAAAATGCCAGTGGCTTCAATATTTCATCCCGGTCTACCTCTCAGATATAATGGTTTAAATTTCCATTAACCTTGGAGTTGGATAAATGCTGATACACTGAACTTCATGTTTATTCTGCGGGATTATGTCCATTATAACAAACTGAAAAATGTGGAATGATATAAAGTTGAAATACCTCATAATTGTAATATCAATTGGATTGGAAAACCAACTGCTACTCCAATTGTGCTGGCTGGCCCAGAATTCAAATGTGAACTTCGATTTTAGGAATAGGTAGTTTTTTATATAATTTTGACCTTGTTCATTGAATTGGCGGTTTCAGCCTATAAAGGTTTTTAGATACAGCAGCATAACTAGGTGAGACAGAAATACAACGAGGACTTTAATTCCGTATTTGGGATTTGTGATCTCAAACCTCTGTCTGCCCTATATTTTCTCCATCATAGCTTGTTTATTCTGTTTGTTATTCTTATCCTTGTTTTGGTGATCATAGATGGAAACTACAGAGACTGTATTCTTTAAATTATTAGGAATGAACTCCTGGAGAATTATAGCTTCAGGTTTCTAGCTTGTTTGCATCAAAATGCAATGAACTCCTGGGAAATTGTTCATTCCTAGCAGGTTTCTAGCTTCAGGTTTTTATTACCAGTTCATTCCTTACCTCACTATTTCCCACCTTGGGATTAAAAAATCTAACCTGCTTCTTGTTAGCTCTAGGAAACTGAGGTGGAACGAAATAGCAGGTCCGCGTCCGGCTGGAGATGACTAGAAGCAGCTTGTAAGACATTGCGTAGCGATGAAAATCCGACTCCACCTGGTGAGAACTCGTATGGATGTTCCATTTCTTCTCGTTTTATTTACCGACTTTGTTGACATTTTCCCGTATAGCCAAAGAGTTGGTTACTTAGTCATTGTACTGCCTTTGAATGCTTAGCTGGAAATCCTACTGCTAGAACTTCGATTTCTGAGTGAAGGGTAAGTATAGGATTTGAAGATGGATGGTTGGATACATATTGACTCAGAATAGGTGAACTACAGTAATAAAACAAGAAAAAAATTCTGGAAGCTATTGTGTTTGATTGGATAGTTCTTTTAATATATATAATATAAAAGAAAATAGGCTCCCACCCCAACCTCTTAGAGCACTAAAAGTGAGTAGTTCAAAGTACAAATCATATTCACATGCTTGATTAAAAGCAAATCTACGGGAAAAAAAAGAATAGAATGGCAGTTAAGTCATTTGAATTACTTATGAAATATTAATATTTTTCTTGTAGGATTGAGGATGATGAGGGCGTCCCCACTCTACATCGTATTTATGTAATCCCTAACTCTTCAATCTTTATTTGCAAAAGTGTACTTATCAAGTAGAAAATATACTCAACCATTCTCATGAATTTTCTTGTCATTTTTTACGAATTTCAGTAGTTTAATAGTTTAGAAAAATTTGTAAATCTGATTTCTTTTTTCAATTGAAATTAGTTTTTTATAAAAGGGAATTAAGTCAAAATGGCAAAAAGGTGGAAATTGGGTAATAAGAGGATATATAGTAATGGAGGCCCAAGTTTCATGGGGATTACATTACAATTTACAAGCAACATGCGACATGTAGTTCGAAATGCAAGGCGACGTGAAGAAAGTGACGATATGTAGTTTCATGTTGAGGGATAGCAAATAATCCGATCCACACGCCCAGGATAAATAGGAAAAGAATGCTAAACTAGAGTACTTGTCACATTCCGGACCACCTATTATTAACTTAATATATTTTTGCTCAATTTACGCCTGCAAATCACGTGCTTAACCTTTCCAGCTTCCGGAGACAAGCAGGAGGTCAGAATCTGGAGCGGAAAAATGGCGGGAGCTCTGAATTTGTCATCAACTCTGTTCTTAAGACAACTTCCGAGCACTAAAACCCCGAAAAGCTCAATTTCTATTCGAGCGACCTCACGGCCGTCTGAGAGTTCTTCAACTTCCGTGGGGACTAAAGAAAACGAAAACGTAGGGTTTTCATCTTCATTTTCTCCTCCGCCCAATTTCAAGCCACCGGAGCCTAAGCGTTTCGGCGTCAGACCGGACAAGATTTTTGATGTCTTGGGCGCTTCTCTTGCCTTGGTATTTAGGCTTGGTACTGGTATATTTGTCTCTGGGTATGAAACTTTCTGTCTATTTTATTTCTAAAATGTAAAAAGTTTAGTCCCTTTTTTTTTCTTTTAATTTTTCGTTTAAAGTCGGTAATATGGCCTTTCGTATTGCAACTATATAAGATGCTCAGAGTGAGCTTTCAGTAACATAACTCTCGTTGAGTGTGACCATGGATGCTTGGAAGTTGGAATGTTCTTAATGGGCTTGCTTCTATGCTGTATTTTGCTAGGTATTCGGCATCATTGGTTCCCAAAAATGAGTTTCCCCCAGACAAATATGCTCTTGAAATTGCTGGTAACTACTCTTATTAGATTTTTTTTTTTTTTTTTTTTTTTGGTTGATTAGCTACAAGATGTTTATCCTAGAACTTTTCACTTAAATATGTGGAATTCCAATTGTCTTGTGAAAATAGTATAGTTGAGGTGTGTAAGTTTGTTTGGACACTTACGAATGTAAAAGAATGTGGAATTCACAAGTTTCTTTTTATCTATTTGAACTAGTTCGAGATAGATTTTCTCGTATGGCAATTTTTTTAACCAAAAGCTATGATCATGGAGTAGAATCTTTTGAACTGATGTCTTTGCCTGCAATCTGTGCCACTTGTTAAATTAATAATAGGTTTCAAGGTCAAAGAGACTTCTAAGTTGGGACCTCGTCCCACGAAGCCTATTGAGATATATGAGTTTGAGAGGTATTTGTGTTCCAAAGCCTAGACTGACCTTTTTGTTCAAATTTTGACGTGTTATGAATTTACTATGATTGAGTATAAACTAACTTCAATCTTTCTTTTTATTACCATCCCAATTCATGGATTGTCATCAACGGATACAGTTGTCCATTCTGTCGGAAGGTAATTTTACTCCAAAAGAACTTCATCAAATGAAGGATCTTGCATTTCCATTTTTTTCATTACTCCCATGACATTTCCGTTTTTTTTTTTTTTTTTTTTTGGGTGTTCGCAGGTCAGGGAAATTGTTGCTATATTAGATCTTGATATTCTATTCTATCCATGCCCTCGGAATGGTCCAAACTTCCGTCCCAAAGTTCTTCAGATGGGAGGAAAGCAGCAATTTCCATATATGGTTTGAAACTATCATTTTTCCATTTCATTCATTATTTGGAGTAAATCAAAATTTGAATTTTCATTCAAAATAGTTGATAATGCATGGAAGCTCAATTATTCCACTACTGAAAAATTGATTGCAGGTTGATCCTAACACAGGAGTTTCAATGTATGAATCAGATGACATAATCAAGTATCTGGTTCAAAACTATGGTGAGGACTTTTCACAATTGATACAATCAATTTAATCCATTTTTCCCCTAATTATATCTTAGAAAATAGATTATTATTTTTTCTTTGTTTATTAAACGTTGATTGTTCCTAAAGGAGAAGAAGACTGTGTTGAGGATTGTTAGGAGAAAGTTTCACATGGGCTAATTTAGGGAATGGTCACGGGCTTATAAATAAGGAATATATCTCCATTCGTATGAGGCCTTTTGGGGAAGCCTAAAGCAAAGCCACGAGAACTTGTGCTCAAAGTGGACAATATCATACCATTGTGGAGAGTCGTTATTCCTAACAGGCTTAATCTCTTTTTCATAATTTTAGAACTTTTTCCATCATATCAATGCTGAAGTAGGAAATGATACTTTTTTTGCTTCGATGCTTGAGCATTACACTCCTTAAGCTTTTAATTTTCATCATTTAACCATTAGAGCAGTTTTAGTGATCAAAACATACCCTATCAAATTTTCTTCATTCTAGTTTTTAATAATGATTTTTGTTCATGTAGGCGATGGAAATGTACCTCTTTCTCTCTCTCTTGGACTTTTGACGGTTCGTAGTTCACTCCATTTTTTTTCTTTGTTAGTATTTATTGACCTGTAGAAAAAAAAAATTGTAATAGGGTAAGGTAATAAGTTTCATCATTGAGCTATATTTTACTTAGCTTCTTGTTGCAGACGTTGACAGAAGGCTTTGCTATGATTGGTCGTATGGGCAGGGTATATTTCCAAATTCTTACCTCTTCAATTTATGAGACTTGGTAATTTTGTAAATAACCTTGCTTCCGTTAATTGCAGGGCTCTATCTATAAGCCATCAAAGCTACCACCTGCCCCACTAGAAATATGGGCATATGAGGTCATTTAATCAGAGACTTATTTGAAAATTTAATGCTATAAGTTCATTATATTTGAATCTCGATGCTTCTCTTCTCTGTCAGGGTTCTCCTTTTTGCAAACTTGTTCGTGAAGTACTTGTAGAGTTGGAGTTACCGCATTTAGTACATAAGTAAAGTCTCTTAAAATGAATGCTTTAGTAAAGCTAAGTACATCAATATTTTGTGATGTTTACTTCTCCTGTTTTATTTAATTCAGTTGCGCTCGTGGGAGCCCGAAACGACAAGAGTTGTACGAGAAAGCAGGACACTTTCAGGTACTTCTTAGTCATGTTTTGAGTGTTCTCCAACAAGCAAAGATAATAATGATATTTTGCACTAAATGGCTGATAGGTTCCATACTTGGATGACCCCAACACTGGGGTGCGTATGTTTGAAAGTGCTGAAATTGTGGAGTATCTTCAAGCAACTTACGCTCTTTAGAAAGCCATGCTTGCGAGCCATTTTCCAGGTCTATTTCTTATTCTCCCGTTCTTGCACCGTGAAGGCGTGAACACATTATTTTTGAGTTTCCAATATTTATGATATTAGATTTTTTTTTTTTGGATAAATTACAAGTTTAGTTTCAAAGTCATTGAACTTTAAAAAGTCTAATAGATTTGTAACATTCAAGATAGTATTAAAACATACCTACTAATTTTATACTGCCCCAAATTCAATTTAAAAAAATATTATATTACCAAGACTTTGTTATTTTATTATGAAGTATTTTCTCTCTTCTTTTTTTTTTTTCTGTTTTTTTTTTCTCCTTATTTTTATTGACAAATTGAGAAATCACTTTTAAATGATTTCTCCGGCAGAATCTATGCACTAGAAGTTTCAAAGTTTGGCATATGAATATGATCCATTCAATGTGTCTCATTTTCTCACCAATTTTTGTGACAGGACAGGTAGGGGGTCTGTATAACTCTAATGGAATTCCTCTACCCCACTTCACATAAAGAAACTTTCTGCCCGTTCATTGAAGGCCTTCTTAAGATCAGCCATATGAATCCCCGAACTTTCAATTTCACTTGTAGGTGAATATTCTTTGATATTTCCTTACTCGAGATCATGCTGAATACTCTGTTTTCTATGTTGACTGTTACTGTTCATATTCACCACATGTATAGTTTTCGCCCTATTTGCTTAAGATCTCCGACTTAAACTCATTCATCTCGTGATTGCTTGCGATAAAAACTGAAAACCAGGTTGAATATTGTCTAAATATTTCATATGCATGCTGATAGAAGAAAATCCGTCAATGATTAACAATGGTTGTTTATATTAAGGTAGCATTCAACTTTCTGTCTTATGAACCATTTTAGGGTCTGTTTAGTGTTTCATACATTTTGTTTGTGGTTTTTTTTTTTTTTTTTAAGAAAATCCATCAATTATTTTGCAACAATGGTTGTTTATATTTTTTGGCTCTATAATTTCCTTGAGTTTTCAATGCCAATAATTTTGGTTTTTGAGATTTGAATTTGATTTCTTTTTTATCTTTCAAGTTCCATAAATGACTTGTTTGGTCTCTGAGGTTTAAATTTGGAGAGGAAGATCAGTTTTATTTTCAAAAGGAAAAGCAGGGCATCTCATCACTCATCTGTAATGAAAGATAAAGCAGCAGGCAATTGCTCTTGAATATGATTTTAACTTCTTAATCTCTTGTGGGGGGTGCCTTCTGATGATGCCCTTTGGGTGGCTTTAGTTTATTATAGATATCTTCTGATTGGCTGTTGTGGGTTTGGGGTGGCCATGAAAGGCAGTTCTGACTAATGTTCAAAAGGAGAGGGACACATGAACACCATTCTTTGATGTAAAGGAGAGGGACAAGAGGGAGGGAAAAAATGGCTTTAATTGGATCTTATCCTCACTCCACCAGAAAATCCAAGGGAAAACCTAATTAACTTTTAAATTCCTTTTTCGCTCATTTCTAAACATTAAATCATTAAGCCTAAAGTTTCTCAAAGTGAAAGGGAAAGGAAGTCGTTCCTTTTCCCTTTTTTTTCTTTAGTATTAATAAATTAATGTCATCTTCGGAGACTAACAATCATATTAAAAATATGAATTCCTTTGTACCAAAATTATAAATTATTTTTCATGGTACTTAATTAACCTAACTGTAGACTTAAATAAAGAAAAGTATCCTAATACTGTAAACTTAAATAAAGAAAATTAACCTAATACTAATTAAAAAAATCACTAAAAGATAACAAATATAGAAACGCACAATAAGCCTATACATTGCAAACATGTCAGCGCCTACTAAAAAAACATTTGAATTCTAATTTCTATTCAGAAAATGAATAATCCTACCCATCAAAACTCCAAAATCCAACCCTAATCTATGAGTTTAAAAGCCCTCAAGCTCAATGTCAAAATGGTATAACCAATCCACAATAATGGCAGTTCAATCATAAAATCCTACCCTAATTATAACGCAATTGATAACATAATGATATAACCAATCCAACATAATGGCAGTTCAATCATAATATCCAACCCTAATTATATATAAGTAACATAATAATATAACAAATCCAAAATAATGGCAATTCAATCATAGAATTCAATCCTAATTATAACGCAATTGATAACATAACGAGTCAAAGATTTTTTAAGATAAAGGTTCGTATATTTGTTTTCATTTTGGTTTTTTCTTCCATCATGATCATCATAATAGCATCAAAGTTTAAACCCTTGAATGTCCGGTAAAGGTAATGCATCTAGGGGGTCTTAGGCACAAAATTTAGATACCAAACTCCAAGCTTTGACATGTGACATGTGACATGGAATCACAAATCTTTAATTATTCCCATTCTTTTAACAGAGAGTAAGTAAGAAATAAACTTGTGGTCTGAAAACTTTCATTAGGCTAAAAACAAAGACGCAATAGAGGGTGGATAAAGTAATTACAGAACATAAGAAACTACAAAAAACATGTAAAGCCAAGGTGACCAAAATATTCGCTCAAAAAACACGCCAACTAAATTTTAAGGTTTTTTAAGAAGTTTCTCTAAATTTAGGCACCCTTCGTTGTCTCTCTCATTCTCTACGAGGAAGAGAGAGAAGGAGGTATTACCGCCACCACATGATGGCCCCATAATTCGCCTTATAAAGGTGAATTTGTTATGTATATAAACACCACTGTACTTGTCTATTGTCAGAGGGAGAGCGACCGCACTAAGAGTTGCACCAATGGCCCCTCTCCTGTCCTCTTTTTTTGTGTTCTCTCTTTTGCTTATTGTTGTTTTCGTGCAAGCCGGTGAACGTAAGCCTCAATTTTTCCATTTCATTTTCTCTTCTCTTCAACTGTTCTAGAAAAAGAAAACACTATGGGTTTGTTTTTCTGGGGAAATGGGTTCAGAAGGGGAAGGAATTTCTATCCTTTTATTCCAGAAATGGTTCTTCTAAACTGTATTTTTTTTCCCCCTCTTTTTTTTGGGGTGGACAGATCAATCCACTCCATTTACTTATATGGGCCCGCAAGGACCTGAAAATTGGGGAAGTCTGTGTCCAAGTTATGCAGCTTGCTCCAATGGAAAATCGCAGTCGCCAATAGACATTGTGACGAACCTCGCTGCGACTAGCAATTATCATCAGACACTAGTCAAAAGATACACTGCTGCTAATGCTACACTCATCAACAATGGATTTAACATTGGGGTTTGCCCTTTCTTAACCTATTTAAACATTTTGGCTCTCTAATTTTTCAAGTACCAAAAGGTTTCATGCTTCTTTTTATCTCTTTTTTTTTTTTTAAACAAAAAAAAAAAACTGAAATTCAGAAACAAATGTTAGGTGCACTTTGAGAATGGCTCAGGTGGAATGGCTGTCATAAATGGTAAAAGCTACACCCTCCAACAAATGCATTGGCATTCTCCATCGGAGCACCGCCTCAACGGCCAGCTGTGAGTTTACCCATCTTTCTCTTTCTCTCTCTCTCGTCTTTTCTCTCTTTGGGCTGGCCCATTATAGGCCCAAGCCCACCAAGTTATCAGACTGCCCAACCTAGATTTTTTTTTTCTACTTAACTAATTGTGAGTGAGCAGAGTTGAATCACCGCATGAATATAGGCTAAATCAGGACAAATTCATCTGTTAGATAATTTTTTTGTAGTTTTGGATTTCAACTGACCTCCGCGAACTTTCCGATTCGAACAGATTTGCAGCCGAACTTCATCTAGTCCATCAAGCAGACGATTTCAGCCTCTCAGTCATAGGAATCCTCCTCCAATACGGCGATCCCGATCCCCTGCTCCAGCAGGTACATCAATCAACAACTCAATTTCATCCTCGCAGAACACACATTTACCAAAGGAAAAAAAAAACGAATACAAATTTACAAAATCACAATCACGGCACCGTAAAATCGCCCGGCGAAATTGCAGGTACAAGACAAATTGGCGGCGTTAGCGAATGGAACCGGCACCAACAAAGAGGTTTACGTTGCACTCGGAGACCTAGAACCAAAGCTCGTGAGGAAGAACAAATATTACAGATACACCGGCTCTCTCACCACTCCTCCCTGCACCGAGAACGTCATGTGGACCATTCTCGGCACGGTAAATCCAGATCAAAACTCGATTTCTCAAACTCCTCACACACCAGAACAGAACGCAGCTAGTTTACGGCTTGGAAATTAATTAGGGCATAACATTGTAAATATTACCTCGCAGGCGAAGACGATTTCGAAGGAACAGATAAAAGCACTAAAGTTGCCATTGGCTCCGGTCTACAAGAACAACGCCCGGCCAGTTCAGCCGCTTAACGACCGGAAGGTTGAGATTTTCGAGGAGTAGTCAAATCTCTCTCTCTCCCCCTCTCTCTATCGGCGCCATCTTTTGCCGCTCAATTAACAATCGATTTAAGCAAAGTGAATTTTTTGGCTTGCGAACTTTATAAATTCTTTGTACGGAATGAACAAAAATTCATAAATACGATTCTAACCTTTCCTACTCTTTAACCTTCCTTGTTTGATTGATAACTAACTGGTCATTTCACGATATTTTTAAAAATTTATTAATTTAAAATGAAATGAAATTAAAATTTTAGAATTTTATAAGAAATAAATTTTAATTAATATTCACTATCATAATTGACACATTAATAATTTTTAAATTGAATGAAATCATTAGTGGACGATCTCTCACGAAAATCTTCTATTAATGGTGTAAATGACAACTATGTAGAAACATGGTTTAATTACTTATAATACAATGTCGGAAATTTAATGCATATGATATTACAACTCGACATTATTAATAATATCTATTTTTAAATAATGAGGTAGCTGAAGAAGAGACACGTTAAAAAAAAAGAAAAAAAAAGTTTATTTTCCTATTTTAAAATCACTTTGGTAGGTGAAGAGATATAAAAAATAAAAAAAAAACCTAAAAATTAAATAATAGAAATTATTATTATAACATTATAATATATAATAATTAAATAGTAAAAAAAAAAACTAATTGTATAATTCTGAAAAGTGTAGGGCCAAAATAAAATTTCTACCTCTACACCTATTTTAATAAATAAATAATAAATAATTTTCACCCTACATGGTCTATGGTCCTTCCTGGCTCGTGCACTGCCTTGTTTTGTCTCTAGCTCGATCATTTATTTATTTATTTATTTATTTTTGGGTAAGCAAAAAATAAATTACTGAAATAAATTAAATTGCAGTCCAGTCCTTCAATTACTTATAATTGCCGTTTAGTCCTTATATATGTAAAAGGTATTATTCGAGAAGTTATTAAGGGGACACGAAATTTGGTGATTCCCAAAAGAAAACCCAAAATAATAATCACACACAATTTGTATTTACAAAACGGCACCGTTGCATGCAAGAAATGACATTGAAAAATAACTGCAAGAAGGAGAGGCAAAATTACATGTGGAAAACCGGAAGGATCCTTTGAATAATTTACTTACTTGTTGTGAAGCACGAGAGTGAGATGAGGACGGTTAAATCAAAGTGCCACGTCATCCGTCCACGATACGAACAAAAAAAACGCGGGCCCACCATTAGTCCACCTAATTCCGATGGAATCGCCGACATCCCACGCCACAAGGTACCGAGAAGCTCAGAGTAGCAGAGTCCGTCGGCGGGCGATTACTCACCGTCGCCGACAACCCAGGATCCCGACCGTCTACCTGATGCGTACCGCTTAACGCCGCCCAAACCGGGTGGTTCGATCTCCACGCTTCTTCTCGGATGAGATTCCGGCGTTAGTGCTTCGATGTTGAGCGTGATCTTATCAGACGCTTTCGTTGCCGGCGGGTTTCCGGCTACTGGAGAGGATATTTTAACCGCTGGAGGTTTTTTCCAACCTCGGAAAAGAGACCGTAAAGGCGAAAAGAAGCCGCGTTTGGAGTCTTTTCCGTCTGGTTTTTCCTGCGGCGGCGCTGGTTCGGAGGGATGGCGGCGATTCTTCCACTGGCGACTCCGATCTCGCTTCGATCTCACTCTCCCCATACACGAAACTTTCGGCGACGACGGTTCGACTAGCGCAGAGTCCGATTTTCCGGAGGATCCCGATTGTTTAGGGAACAACCTCGCGTTTCCAGATTTCGAATTGCGACGATTCTTCGTATCCACAAAGAAAGCCTTATGAAGCTTCGGAAGACCTAGAATCGAGGCCTTCGATTTGAAATTCAACGAAAACCGCTGAGAATTCGAATTAGTTGCTGGATTCACACTAGGATTCAGATTCGTCGAATTCGAACTTCCTTTCGTTGAATCTTTCCGCTCGTAAAAAGCGTTCTGATCTAACCAATCGTACTCCGCATCCTTCGAAAGCCAAAACGATTCCGGTGGAACATCCGGAGTAACCTCCGGCTGCTCCGTCACTTCTCTGTTCTCATCTTCCTGCCGATTATCGCCATCGGCCAAAGCTTCCTCACAGGCGATTTTCCGGTCGTGAGCACCGCCGCCGGCACATGCAGAAACCAGAGTTTCCAGATCCACTTGCGGCATAGTAATACAGAGTGAACTAAACCACAGAATACAGATTGCAAAAGGAAAAACAAAAAAAAAAACAGAGAAAAATTCTTCCGGTCGGAAGGAGCTCGGTGGCGCGTCGTGAAGACGTCTTTTGAAAATTCAACAAAAAGAGAGAGAGAGATAGAGAAAGAGGGAGAGAGATTGGGAGAGATTTTTCTGACTATTCTTTTCTTTGCCTTGTGAAATTGGTACGGACAGCGAAAGCACAAAACGGCAGTGGATTGATATGCAGTCGCAGATGATTTACTTATTTTCCCATTTAATTATCTTTTTTAAGTTTTTAACATAATTTTTTTTTTCTCAAATCTTTAATAAATAAATAAATAAATAAATAATCTTAAATCTTTTTCCATTTCCCGGCGTGGCTTATTCAAATGGCTTGCCTCTGTCTCGAATGTACCAAAACCTAACAATTTATTTATTGTTTTTTTTATAATTCATTTTGTTGCCATGTGAATGTAAATATATATATATATATATATATATATATATATATATATATTTATTTATTTATTTATTTATTATTGACTTTTTAAAAAATAATTATCATTTTTCATCTAAAATTTAAGGTAATAATATTATTTTAAACTCAATAAATTTTACAAATAATTTAGCCTTTATTTATTATTAGATTTGTTGTTTGGGTTTGGTAGGTTGGTTAATACTTACTAAACGTTTGGTCCATCTAACCCAACCGTTCCCAATTTAGGTGATAATTATATTATTAATAATTTTTAATCTCCCAAAAATATGTGTATTTTTAAATATAATTAGAAAAATAAAAATAAAACGAGGGGCAAATATGGTATAAACAATGAGACCAGCTACCGGCTAATAAGGAGGCAAGGGCATTAATTACAATGATGACGGAATTATTGAGGCTTTTTTTAAATCAAAATTGATTATTTTTTTAATACATACTTTAGGTCAATTTATTTTCTTATTTTCTTATTTTATTTTTCCTCAATTATAGTTGCTTTATTTTCTAAATAAAAATCAAGAATTAAATTAGCTGTATGATTTGTTATCCGATTGGATCTCTTCAATGTATCTCACTGTGTATATATATTGAGGACAAAAAATTAAATTATTAATAATATTCAATATAGACAATAAAAAATATTTAAAATAAAATAATTTTTTTAAAAAATATATTTTCTTTAATGATTGAGATTTGATCGTCACATTAAAAAATGCTAAATGGTTGGAGAAAAAAACACATCACAAGGGTAAGAAGAAACCAACCAAATCTAAAATTATTTGTATCAATATTATTAGGTTTTTATTATTATTAATTTGTACCTATTTTTTATTTTCATTTTATTTTTATGACATAATAGGATTTTTTTTTTCCATTAAAAAAATTGAATTAAATACAAAATTAGAAATAAACCTTAAACCCCAATCCCAGCGAGGACGTTGGCCTCCAAGAGCATTTCTTATAAGGATGTGAAAACATCTTCCTAACTTAAACGTTTTGTAATTGTGAAGTTGACGGCCATGCGTAACGGGCCAATTCGGATAATGTATGTTAGCGGTGGGCTTGAGTTGTTACAAATATTATTAGAGTCGGACATTGGACGATGTGACAGTAAGGACGTTGGACCTCCAAGGGGATGAATTGTAGAAAAATCTCCCTAATAAGCTAACGGTAATACGTAATAAGACCAAAACCGACAATATTTGTTGCTAGTGGGCTTGGGCTGTTACAAGTGGTATGAAAGTCGGACATCGAATAGTGTACAAACGAGGACGTTGGACCTCCAAATAAGGTACATTATGGAAATTTCTCCTTAAAATACACATTTTAAAATCGTGAGACCGACTATAATACGGACTAAAATGATATTTTTGAGTGAAAGATGAAAATTATTGTGATTCCCAATAAATAATTTTGATGATTCCATTATGGGCATGGAAGTACGTAAACTTCTTGTCGTGTAAGCTCTGCAGCCAATCAAAACCCTTTTTTTATTTTATTTAAGAACGATCCACACAAAATATATTCAATTCCTTAATTTTTTCAAATTCGAATTTTTATTAAATTTGTGATTTCCAATTTCACTAAAAAAATATATAAATATTATAATTTATTTTCCATATATTGTATTTAAATAGGATAACGTATACTCAAGAGTCAAGCCTCTAACCCCGTTTTGAGAAGAAGGTTTAAGCAAACGGGAGTATAGAGAGTTTGAAAGCAATGTCGAAAGTAATGATGAAGACAATGTTAAACTAGTAAACAAGAAAGTCAACATAGCAGCGTAAATAACATATAACTCAAAGTATTATGAATTAATGACTAGTCGGATCTCTGAAAGATTTCAAATTTATCCCGAGTATATTTGATTTTGTCAAAACGTTATACTCTAAATTACAATCTAATACAAGAATAAAACGATAAATATATATATATATATATAACATATATGCACAAAAAATTTATGACATGGACATACGGTTATGAACAACACGTCTTGAATAAACATTATCGTGACGACGTATATATCAATATAAATCATAAAAATTATAATATGATTTATATTGATATACATGTCGTCACAAACATTACCGTAAGAGATGTCGTCACAAACATTACCGTAAGAGATTCAATCAAATGTGCTTTGATTAAACCTAAAACAAATTAACAAAATATTAAAATTAATAAAATAGATTGATGGAATAAAATTATTAAGATCGTCACTAGTTTCGATCTAGATATAATATTTATATTTTAGTGAAATTAAAAATCTGAAATTTGTCAATCATATATGAATTAATTATTAAATTAATTCTACTAATTTATCTAAAACTTAGTGTTGTTTCATATTTAGTTTATAAACCTTAAAATTTTAATTTTTTTATTTATAATTTCAATAAATCCTAAATTTTATTTTTTACTTTTAATTTTAATTTTCATAAAAAAAAATAGTAGAAACTAAATTTATATATTTAATGGTATGAAAATAAAAAAAAAGTTTAAATAATAATAATAATAATACTAAAAACTTAGGACTCAAAGAAAACATGATAGATGGCAAAGTATAATTAGTGGTAAGGTCCTACAAAATCAATAATTGAAGATATTGTTTAATTCGACGGACCACACACTACTTTGTCATTATTCATTAAATCATTTTGATTTCATATGATCTACGTTGGAATTTTACGGATCAGGATCTTCAAATGAGATCAAGTGCATCGGATCCTAACCTCCACAAGGAAATTGATGAGATGTTAATTAAGACAAAATTAAAAAAAAAAAATCAATTTCATATACCAATCAAGTTAAACCTACCGTGTGATTCTCCTAACTTAAAAAAAATTAAATTATATATATTCGTTTTTAATATTTCTCATAAATTTACGAAAGTGTGATGACATGTGACGCTACAATAATTCTTCTTACATTAATTATATTTTTTTTATTTTTACAATAGAATTTACGCGATTTAGTTAATTATATGGAATTGGTATTACATCCAAGGTAAGTCGTATTACATTTTCAATTAGGTAAAGAAAAAAAATCATTAACATAATTTAAAAAATTAATTTTAATTTAAACGATTTTATTAAATTTATAATGTATGTTAAGACATTTTTTTTAATACAATTCTTAATATCAGTATTTACTTTATTTATTTTGTAAATATAATAATTTTATGGAGAGAACGATGTGTCGGATCGTTTACGCAGTTGACAATTGTTAAGTATGACGATGGGTCGTCAAAACCAAGTCAAATTGTATCGATGGAGGCTATGAAAAATCTAACCAATTATATTTGACCACGTGGAATACCTACATCATAGCGTTTGTCCTATGAACAAACACCTATAATGATTTGATTTGGACTCGCCTTCAATGGGACATCCAATTGAAAAGTGATTGTTTCCCTTTTTTGGGATAAAAAACAACTTTTATTCAATAAACTTTAATCAAAAAAAGTTTATTTAAAGTTATTTAGTTTTTAAAATTAAACCTATAAATATTATTTTTATTTATCCACTTTTAACAAATATTTAAAAAATTCAAGTTAAATTTAAAAATTAATACAAATAATTTTTTTTTGTTTAATATTGCTAAAGAGAAATATTCTTTTTAAGAAAGTTAAAACCCATGACAAAAAAAAAAGTACAATTAAAAAAAATCAAATAATTATTGAAATAAACTTTAATTTCTATATATTTTTATTTTGCAATAATTTAGTCCATGTATTTTAAATTTGTAATAATTTTTTTTTTACATATATATTCAAATTCTACAAAAAAAAAAAAAAAAAAAAAAAAAAAAAAAAAAAAAAAAAAGTTCGCTATCTACTAATTGGCGTAATTGGAAAGCAGTCTTTAATTAAGCCATGGTTTTCAATTTTTTTTTTTTTTTTTATCATTTTCAAGATATTTTCCAACCTATTTGAATTATATTACTAAAATTTTAATCCCGTCTTGACCTCCTCAAGTCGCTCATAATTTAATACATGTCATATTTTTCATATTAGAGTACTATTTTAATTAATTGAATCTTATGTTTATTTATTGTTAAAGTCAATATCTATCATTAATGATTTATATAGGTGAGTTGAGATTAAGTAAATAGTAATAATAAATATTATTTTTTTTCTTTTTTTAGTAAGTTATGAAAATTTAATTCTCCAACTTTTGGTAATGCTGACAATAAATAACAGGTCCTTAATGTATATTAATTTAAATTTAAATTGAAATGAAATAAATTTTAATTTAAGAAAAGACCAAATCAACATAAATAAAAAACAAAAACAAAAAAACAAAACAAAAGTTAAAAAAAATTAGAGAGAGGAAAAAAGGGCTGCAATAGTGGGAAAAAGTGTGGGGTCGAAATCATATTATAAAAAAACATGGGGCAAATTTCGAAGAGAGGAAAATTCCCGAAGAACAAGAATTCCCATTCGAAATTTTCGACCGTTGGGGCCCGTATAGACAATGTAGTAACGGTTACCATTCAAAAAAAAATAATAATAATAATAATAATAACTGAAAAACTCATCCACTAAATCTCTTCGCATCTACAACTTCTGTTCTTCACTTAAAAAGCTTCGAGAAAATCGAAGAAGAAGAAGAAGAAGAAGTATCAATGGGGTGCGTCTCTTCAAAACTTCACCGGAAGGACCTTCAGAGGAACATCGTCGTCAACAATGGCAGCGAGTATCTCAACCACGTCGTCTCTTTAACTTCCAGTACTTACGGCGTTCTCAATCTCGACGCCGATCAGAAATCGAAGGATTTAGTTGCAGAGGCGACGAAGAAATCGCCTCCTCGCGAAGAATTAGAAGTGATTAACACTTGGGAGCTTATGGATGGCCTTGAAGAAGGAATTCCGATGGCAAATCGGGGCAAAAAAAGCCCTAAAAATAGAGTGTTTCTTCGCGGATTGGTCGATTTGGATCGAAGAAGTCCGTTGAAGTTCTTTAATCAAATTGGTACTCCGAAGAAGGCGATTAGGTCCGTCGGGAAGGAGAATCGAGGCAGAGTCAATGGCGTCGGGAAGGATAACAGTCCGAGAAAGAATACGCCGAAATCGTCGGTAGTTTCTCCCAAATCGGCTCTGAAATTGAGTGTTCCGGTGAAGAATACGCCGATTTCGGCGAGAAGGCAGAGTTTCCGAAGCGATTCGGGCCATTTCTCGGCTAGACGGAGGAGTTTGAGTCCACTATTCGATCCAGAGCTGGTAGCGTCGTACGAGAAAGAATTAAACGAAGAAGGAGAACAAATCAAGAGAATCGTTTCAGAGACGCCGAAATCTAAAGCGGCCGCGAGACATTTTCAAGAATCGGACATTGCCCTAAAAAAAGAGTTCGAGGAACGTCGCCCGCCCGGCGGCGAAACCGCCGTCGTAATCTACACGACGACACTTCGAGGAATCAGAAAGACATTCGAGGACTGCAACAAGGTTCGAACGATCGTCGAATCTTACGGCATTCACTTGATCGAGAGAGACATATCAATGGATTCCGGTTTCAGAGAGGAACTGAGGGCGTTGATAGACAGTAAAGAGGTGAAAGTTCCGGCGGTTTTTGTGAAGGGGAGACTAATAGGAGGGGCGGCGGAGGTGTTGAAAATGGAGGAGGAGGGGAAATTGGAGGTTCTGTTTGAGGGGATTCCGAGGGCGGCGGGCGGAGGAGGGTGTGAAGGATGCGGGGGCGTGAGGTTTGTGTTGTGTGTGGATTGCAATGGAAGCTGTAAGGTTTTGGATGAGACGAAGAAGAAGACGATGAAATGTTGCGAGTGTAATGAAAATGGGTTGATTCAGTGTCCTATTTGTTCTTGAATTTTCACCGAAATTCAGAATTATTAGGGTTTTATTTAGTAGGGGAGGAGGAGAAATCAAGATTTCCCTTATTGATTTTATTTGACTAAAGTTTTAGGACCTGTGTGCGTTTTGTTGGTAATGTATTAATTATTTGTGTATTATTAAAGCCTAATTTTTCATCTTAACACCATGATGATTTTATTATTGTATTTTTTTTATAGTAATTTTTAATGTCGTGTTAATCTCTCTCTCTCTCTCTCTCTCTCTCTATATATATATATATATATATGATGCTTATTAATGTTTATGAGGTTCATTAAATTATGATTCTTTTAGTATGTTTTCTCATTTTGTTCTATCTTTTTTACCCACGTTTTCTAGTTTCTTTTTTTTTTTTTTTTAAGAATTAAGCCAAAAATTCAAATTACATTTTTTGAAAGAGAAATGAACGAGAAATGTTGAGAAAATAGGATTTTAATGTAATAATCCATGACACCTCTTGTTACACATCAGCGAGTCACCGTTGGTCTCGTGGTTTTGAAATGAGAGGTTTCATACGTTTGTAAGAAATGTTTGTTCCCTCTCCAACTAGTGTGTGATCTCACAACCCATCTCCTTTGGGGCCAGCGTCCTCGCTGGCACACCCTCGGTGTATGGATCTAATGCCCATTTGTAATAGTTCATATTGGTGTCATGGATCTAATGTCCATAGGCTATTACTAACTGATATTGTCTGCTTTTGCTCGTTACGTATCTCCTCAGTCTCACAATTTTAAAATGTGTCTGTTAGACTGATGTTTCTAACACCCTTGTAAGAAATGCTTCATTCCCCTCTCCAACTGATGTGGGATCTCACAATAAAAATTTGAACAAGTTCTCGATTAGTGCATGTCATCTTAATCTTCTCTCGATCTCACATTTAGTAAATCACTATTTTCTTAATTTGAATATAACATTTATGTTATACGTAGATATCGAATTGGTTTTAAAGAAGTTGAAAAACAAGTTTGATCATAATTTTTTTGGGCTCAATTATTATAGTTTATATCAGAAAGGATAGGGAAAGGGAAAGCTCTTACAAACTCTACTGTTTAAGCTTAAGGTTTCTAGAAATTGAGGTAAGGAAATAGCAAAAATGATCAAAATAACCTAAAACTGCCACGGCAAAAAATGATCAAAATAGCTTCTTGATTAATATTTTGAAGCAGTGTTCATTACACTATATTCTAACACAAACATTAATTGCATACTCAAATTTCATATATCCATTACCTGAAGCATTTTATACCGCATGAGAGATGGATCTCTCAGAAGCTTCAGACGAACATGAAGAAACATCGGCGACTTAGCGTGCCACGAGAGGTGACGGTAGAGGTTGAGCTTTCTTACCAAAGAATGTCTAGCTTGAGTATCAGATAAACAAGGGTTTGAACTCCCCATTAGCAAGCTGACATAGTTTATTGAAGGTAGATGTATCTGCAAATAGAGTTGAACAAAGAATTCAGGATGCTACTTGATCTGATAATTCATAAAAATTCATTAACACACCCTGATTCAAACAATGTTGAAATATAATCCAAAGAGGATTCTATAAGTAACTTGAGCATATATTTCAAGCAGATCTATCTGAGGTTCATCGTCTAAAGTGAAAAAAAAAAATGAAGTGTAATATATGAGCTAAATAACTTGGATTGATTTGAATTCAACTTGATACAAAATGAACATCAAATACAGATTAAATTTCACTGTGGGAATAATCCAGATTCCAAATTTAGGATCTAGCTATCTTATGTTCTAGAAATCTCAAAAGCTAGATTTAGTTAATCTCATTTATAAATGTCAATTCATTACTCAATCCTGCTTTTGGCAAAATCAATTATTAGCTAAAAACTGATTAACGGTCCTCTCTTCAAGCCAATTCAAAGAACATAAATTAACTTCAGATGATATGTACAGGGGAATTATGCTAAATTGGTTCAAATGTTATTCTAGAATAAGGATAGGTCAAGAAGGGATCATACCGAATGAGTCGCCAAAATTGGTCCAAACATCAGCTCGTATGGATTTGTCAGTATCAGCAATTCCAATGACCTCGACAAACTTCGAAAGGGGAAAGGGTGGGGAGCCTTTCACAACAATCTGATTGTTATCTGTTGATTTACCATATATGACTCCGTTGCCTTCAGACTGTACCTGAATCACTGCCCGAACTCTTCTTCCAACATACAGGCGTAAAAGCTCAGCGTTGACAAAAACTGAAGGGTTTGAAGTATCCATCTATACAATACACCAGGAAGTGAACATTTAATAAAAAACAAACTGTCAAGTTTCACCATGACAGCCATGCTTGAACTTGTTTAGCACTAATACCAAATCAGTGTCTATACAACTAGCAGACACCATTTCACGAGTACTTTTCTTCTTCATTACAAACAATTACTTCATTTATGAAATGTCAGTGACACTCAGTTCACGAAATTTGGAAAGCAGAAATAATTATAACAGTAAGAATATACACGATGGTCACTGCGGTGCGGATTATTTTGATTCAATAGCTCTTATTTTAGCTTCGAGACTATCCAAAAATTAAAATCTTACTACGGTATTCTCACTCCTAATTCTCTACCATATTAAAGGAACAAATCAGGAACCTAATAAGCGATCTCCTCTTACTACGGTATTCTCACTTCTAATTCTCCACCATATTAAAGGAACAAATCAGGAACCTAATAGGCGATCTCCTCTTACTACGGTATTCTCACTTCTAATTCTCTACCATATTAAAGGAATAAATCAGGAACTAATATGCGAATCGAATTCAGGCCCTGCCGACTCAAACTATACACAATCTACGCATAAAGTAACTCCAAACAAGTTAATCCAAATCTCATTGGCTACAAACACGACGAGCCAAGTGAATAAGCAGTGGAATTTCATCATGCACTTGAATCTAACAAATCGATCCACAAAATGAGGAGAAATTTCAAAATACACGATCGAAGAATCAAAACAACTGAACTACAATACCTGATTTTACCGATTGCAGAGTTCCTAAAAAATGGAAACCGAATCGATCGACGGAGAAGAAAAAGAGCGCGGGCTTTTGAAAGCGGCAAAATTGAAGTTACGAGATGAGTGCGTGCAACGAGAATAGAGGAATTTGTAGGGAGATCAAGCGAGAGATGAGCTCCAACTCTGATATCAAAGATCATCTTCCTTCATCCAACGGTCGACATACGCTCACGCGATCAGTTTCAGAATTTCATTATCATTTTCTTTTTGCTAAAATAAAAAATTAGCAAAAGAAACGTAAATTAAAAAATTAAAAAATTAAAAAAAAAACCTTATTGTAAATCAATCCAACCAATCAAATTACAGATAAAAATTTATCTTTCCAATAATTTGATGATAAAAAAATATTGAAATTTAACAATCTTGTCCTAAAGTTTAAAAATTAATTTTTGTATTTTTGCTTCAAAACATTATTTATTTATTTATTTAAAAAATTATATAACATTTCAGATCTCCAAAAGGAAATTCTAGATCGTCAATTTTAGTTAAAATTATAATAATTTAGTTTAAATCAATTTAAATTAGAGAGAGTAACCATAGTTATGTAAAAAATATATATTATAAAATAAAATATCACATTTTTTCTCAACATCACATTTTTCCACGTAATAAACACACAGCAAAAAAAATAAAAAATACAAAAATAAAAAATTTGGAGAAGACAGGGAGGAGCAAAGTTGAGGGAGAAGAGAATCAGTTTTGTCGTAATTTCTTAACAACGACGAAGGCCGCCACCGCCACGGCGGCGACGACGCCGGAGACGATGAACGTCGTCTTTAATGTCTGCATTGTATCCTTCTTCTTCGCCTGCTTTCTTTCTTCTTCCACAGTTGCTTTCCTCTTCGCCTGCTCCTGTCAGATTTTCCACAAATTATTTATTTCAGTTTATAATTTTTTTAAAAATAATTATTTTTAAAATTAAATTATTTTTTTAAAAGAAAAAATCTAAAATTTTACCTTATCTTCCACAGATGCAGCAACTTGAGAGGAAATGGGATCGACAGTTACGTGCTGGTTATGGCCGGGATGTAATTCTCTGTCCACGTCTACTGCCGGAAACCGGGAACCTGCACCCCCGGTAGCTCCTCCATCTCTGCCTGGGCTCGCCATTCTTTTTTTTTTGTCCTTTTTTTTTTTTTTTCTTTTTCGAAGTTGCAGAAAACAGAAACAAGAAACAAATTCATCGCCTTGGGTATTTTATTCTCTTCCAAGTGGAACAGTTACTGTGACACGTGGAGACAATCTACTGGTTTAAATTTCGTTAACGACCAACCACGAATGACTTTCTTTTATTAACCGTCAACGGCCCGGGAATGGCGTCCGGATTTCGTTGTTTGCCTGTTTTTCCTTGGAAAACAAATTTGAGTTTTTATTTATTTATTATTATTGTTATTATTTTTTTAATATTTACTAAGAAAAATTAAAAAAGAATTATGATAATTTTTCTATAATAAATTATGGTAATACATAAAATCGATAAATTTCTTGTTTGTAGCATAGTATGCCCACGTCCTTGTACAACTTCTAATTTAACAGATTAGATTAGCTCAGATTCTGAGTCGTAATTGATATATTTGAAGATCAAATCGATTGTTCGATCCAACTCTATCACTAAATCGAATAAAGTCGAACAAAATTTATCTGGATCGAACTATATTTGTAGCTTTATATTTCTAAAAAACGAAAACCGAACCCAAGAATATGAGAACAGAGAGAAAAAGTAGAAGAAAAGAATATGTTAGTTAGGGTGTCAACAATACAGGGACAAGGAATTGCAAGCAGAAGCACATTTGAATGTTTAGATAAACTCATACACACCATATCTCAACACCAACAAAATCAAAAGGTCATATTTTAAACAGTTATCACCACTCCCCCACCTGCATAAAATGAAAGACAGAACCATACACGACGGTTATAGTATCGTTCGGTTCGGTTCAGTTCGGTTGGTTCAACGCCAAGCTTCAGCTAGCTCTGTCCTCGAGTTCAACCGACCGACAACACCACCTTTCTTGCCTCTTTGTGCACCAGCACCTGTTGTGTGAACCTTCACTGGCTGATCATTCGCCTTCCTGCTGCCTTTCTTCAGATTCATACTCCCCGATCGATCGAGGCTACTCCTTCGACAACTTTGAGGTATCCTGACTTGGTTTGCGAGAACAGTCTCCGGTTCTT